AATTTAGACCCCCAACAAGCTCTTGCATGTCTGGTAGAGCATCCCAGTAGATGAAGTGAAGCAACGCCTGCAAACATCAAAGCAAGGAGGGGAATTATTATCATGTAAGCTCATTTATTCCCATTTACTTCAATAACAGAAATCAACCGACCTGTTTACACTATTCCCATTTCTTCAGCCATATGTGTAAAAATGCAAATCAGCAGATATTAGGCATCTCATTGATGTTTACATCTTCTAATGCTTTTGTTTTGTGTGCGTGTGTGTGTGTGTGTGTGTGTGTGTATGTTGGGGCAGAGGGATGGAGAGGGACATATACAAAGAGGGAGAGAGAGAGAGAGAGAGAACCTTGAAAACAGGAACCTCAATGTCTTCAACTTTTATGCAATGAGTGCTTTTATCTTTCAGCGGACCAAAGAGTTGTGCCCTGAACACAGGCGATCGTGCTGCAAGCACCACCTTGTGGGCAGAAAATACTTCCCGATCAACTTCAAAACTTACATCAGTCAACTTTCCACTTTCTAAAAGCTTACCGAAATGTTGACTGATATTGGAAGGTGGCACTGCTATAGAGTAGATTTTAGGTCCCTCAGTATTTGTCTTAACAACACCAACACGACATTTAATTATAAGGCAATCATCTTTAAGAAAGTCTGATGTCTCTAATTGAGTTCTCTTGAAAAAACGTTTATAACCCCTGCAACATCCAAAAGTTGAACCTATTCAGTTAGGTTTTCAATCCACAAAATGATAGGCAATAAGTGAGTCTTGTACAGACCATAATGACAAGGTAAATACGATATATTTGCTCCAAGAAAGCCAGGCCCGCAAGTCCCAACAAGAATTTTTTGCATTGATCTCACTTAGAAATGCTACTGAAGGCTTTGCCAAGACACAAGAATATTGTGCTAGCATCTACTTCACGTGAGAGTAGATTTTAAACTGAGTAAACAGTGTCCTGGCCATGAAGCAGTTATCAATTTGCCAGGCATAATTTGAGAGAAGATATCCAATTTGGAAGTCAAGAATGTTACAGACCACACTATACAAAGAAGATTTATGATCTTATTACTAGCTTTACATTTAAACAAATTTTATGGTGCTTTAAGATTGTGGCACGCAAAACTTAGAATGGTTAAACGGATAAAAAGCCTTTAATCCTGTAAGCATGCTTAATTAACTCAACAAACCTACAACATTGCATATCAAAGACAGACCATATCATCATTCACTAACCAATCCAACACTAATTTCCTCAATTTCAAACACAAAATTTGCAATCAGAATCCAATACATACACACATATATATATATACATATATACGATACAAAAGTATGCATTCAAATAAAAAATTTCAGTGCATACCACATGCTTCCGCGGTACTTAAGTGTATAGGGACCACTATCGAGCCTCCTCAAAAAATGGCTATGCACTTTGTGCCGTTGTTTCTCGCTCTGATCCAAAAGCGTCAATTCGAACAAAGCCCTGACGTCCGTGCCCTCGCTCGCCAGAGCTATGAAAAGAGACACGAACGCAGCGTTATCCTCAACGCTCTTGCCATCTGGGTAGAAATATATTGCCCATGTATAGCCACCGACAACAAAGGAATCGGACGCGACGAACTTGCCGATTCCCATGCCCTTGGCGAGAGAGTACCCATTGATTTTAAACTCGTGGCAGCCATCAACGGTCTCTGTGCACGAGGTAGAGCACGTGATCGGTGGAGGCAGCGGCGGTGACGAGCTGGGTTTCAATGCTCCATTGAAGACCTTGATTGTGCCCATCAACAATTAATGGCCGGCGGCGCGAAAAGGATCGATTTTGATGTTCTGGATGGGGAATTGTGAAGTGGGTTTGATTGAATTGGTGGGTTAGGTTGGGTTTTGGGTTGGATTCAGAATTAGGGTTTTAATTGAAGGGGGGTGAATTGGGAATTGGGGGTTTTCCGATGAATTTGGCGGGGCAATATTTGCGCTTTGGGGGAAGAGTTTGAGAATTTGAAGGTTTGGAGGGAGAGAATTGAATTGGTTTTTGGGTGATGGTGGTGGTGGTGGTGATTTGGGTTCGTGGTCGATTGACGGTGGGTGGTATGTGTAGGACGGCGGTGATTTTAATGTTATTCTGGATATTGCGTGGTGTACTGGTATTCATAACTTATAGGTTCAAGTGAGGTACGGCTTAGGAATATTATAACAAAGACCACAACTTACCCAATAGTGAAGATGAATGATGTGAAAATAAAGATTAGGATGGTTTTGTTGCTAGAAATATTTTTTTTCTCACTACCCTTAATTAATTACTGTTAGATGAGTTTAATTTTCTTCTAAACAAATAGATTAATGTATAATGCTCACCATAAATTGAGGGTGGTGAGTAAAAATGTTCTCTTAACTACTTCTTAAATAAAGAGTATTGTGTGTGTCAACAGTGGCGGACCTGTGCAGGCGCAAGGAAGTGCACATGCACCTCCGGTCGCCGGAAAAGTCCATAACAGCTGCTGGAGTTGCACCTCTGCTCAGATCAGAGATGCACGGAACTTGTTCGATGAAATGCGCAAGAGAGCTGGGTGCTGCGTTGCTGTCTGTTGCACGCTGCGCGCGTGTTTCTTTTTTTTTTTTTAATGAAGCCTGGCCAAAACAACGTCGTTTTGGACCAGGGTTTTAAAAAAAAATAAAAAATAAAAACTGAAACAGCTGGGCCATTTCGCAGGCTTCTATAGAGTTTTAGTTGGGTATTTACAATTCCTTGTTGAATTGGGTTTTGATTGGATTTTTGTAATTCCTCACTTAATTGGGTTTTTGTATTCCAATTAAAACCCAATTAAGTTTTCTTTATTTAATTGGGTTTTGAGAATTCCTTATTTAAGTGGGATTGAGAATTCTATTTGCAAAGGACCAATTTAACATCACCCAATTTCATCAAAGTGTGTATGCATTTATAAGAATCTTACGTTTTTCTTTTCCTTATTGAGTACGCCAATCCAAAGTAAGTCAGATGCATATAATTGTAGGTTAATTGTAATGTTAATTTTTTTTTTTCAATTAATTATGAATAACATTAGTATTGTTTAAATTATAAGGATGTTTAGTTGTCTTCTTTTTTTGTTTTTTTTTGTTTTTGTTTTTGGAGCTCTTAGCTTTTAAAATTTGCACCTCCGCTGAAAAATTCATGGGTCCGCCACTGTGTGTCAACATAATTAATTTACATGTCAAATATTACCATTGTATACTCGCTTTACACTTTTTGGATGTGATAATTTGATTATTCGTCGCCGTAGTAAATAGGTGAAAATAAAATTTGGTTATATTTACATATTAAGTAATGTTTAATATAGTCCTCTTGATTAGGAGCAGAGCAACACTTTGACTTGAAGTGGATGTTGCCCTCCAAATTAGGGATGCCAACGGGCCAATTCGGGGCCGGATATGGCAATACAATCCTCGTCTCCACTCCCTATCCCTCTTGCCTCGTCCCATCCCCATCCTCGTAGGGGGGCTTTCTCCCGAACCCACCCCAAATCTCTGATTTTTATTTTCTTAATAAAAATACTTATCCTACAGTATAACACTAATTTCACCTTAAACCATCAATCACATTTAATTGACTTTTAAAATTCAACCCAATGATTCACAAACATCTCAATTCAATTTGACAAAACTAAATAAATATTAAATTATATATTTATTGATTATATTATATAATAACCGTACATACTTATATAATATGTATATTTACTTAATAATAAATATATCACTTATCAGGTTGGCTTTGGGGATAGGGATAACAATACTATTCCCATTTCGTACTTGATTGGGAAATTTTAAATCCGAAGATCCCTGTACTTGCCCACGGTTTTTTCTCGAAATCTCTCCCCGTTAGGGCTGGGGACTCAACGATTCATATATAAAATTAAAATATTAAACTTTTAAAATTATTAAGAAAATATTGAGAACTCTATATTGTTAGTTTCCAAATAATAAAAAATAATTGAAAAATCAAACTTAGGATTAGGGATGACAATTTTCTCCACGTGTTAGGATCTTCGACCCTAATAGGTTGCGTATGAAGGATATAAATCAAGTACGGGGACGTGTTTGGGGAAATTTTCGAGTATAGTGTTTGGGGCGAAGCATGGATGATATTCTAATCCCCAACTGTTTTTTGGTCTAAATTCCAATCCCCAACTTGAACCCGTCCCATTTAGAATATATATATCGGTTCATAATGTGTCTTTTCCTGCACATATATTATCATCTCCTTCATCTTTCCTTCTCTTCTCATAATTTTTTTAAACGGTATCTCTGCATAGACTAACAATTTGTTTTTCTTGTTTCTGAGATCTATTTTCTCTCAAAAGGTAATTCTCCTATTTAGTCACCTCTTCCTTTTTGAAGAACCTTAATTAATTCCAGTTTTCAAAAGATTTGCCCCAAATATGCAGAAATAGAATGAGTAATTGAAAGAAGGGTCCCTAAGAGGAGGACGAGTCTTGAGCCTTCCAAGAAATAGTCAATCAAGGTTAAGTGGCTTCTAGGTGTGTCTCACAACTCCCACCAAAATATATATTCACATATTATATATTGAATTTAATAATACATGTTTTTGTAATGGGGGATGGGGAATCCCCAATTTCGAACATCAGGAGTATGAAGGTGAGATGGGAAAAAAAGGGATGAAGATGAGAATGGCATATCCATACCCGATTCGCTTTTTCATATCACCGATTCGTCTCATTGTTATTTTTATTTAGGTAATTAGCTTATGTGAAATGAAGAAACAATTGTTTTGCTATCTCCGACCAACCAGGATATGTCAAGTGAAAAAATTATCACGTATAATATACCTTAATTGACAAAGAATAAAAAGAGTGCTATCCCCTTTTCCACACAAGTGTTTCTTGATTTACCATTCACCCCCAATCACTCAAGTCTTAATAATAACAACAGTTAAGATTCTTGGGCTTTATATATAAGGTGTTTGAAATTGAATCCTAATTTCAACGAGTTCACAAAAAAACAAAAACTCCATCATCTTGGAAGAAAGCGAACCCTGTCACAAACTGTTAGGCTCTATCCAAGAAGGGAGAAAACATTAGCGAAAACCCACACCCAATCTATAACCACAGAGCTGAGATTCCATGTCCTGCATCCCCAACCTCATATAGTGCACCCTCCCCTTTCTCTTTCTCTCTCCCTCTCAATGTTTCGCAGATTCCTCACCACCTCTCTCTCTCGCACCAATCCTCCCCTCCTCCTCAACCCAAAACCACTCAACCCTAAAATCTTCACAACCCCCAATTCCCTTATCCAAACACGCCCTAACCCGAAAATCATTCTCCAATTTTCTTCGAACCCACGATTCTTCTCCCAAATGAGCGATGCTCGACGACCCGGTTCGGTTCCCATACCCAACATCGAAAAAGCCGACCGCTCCGAGCTTCTTCGTGCTCTCGAGGCCTCTCTTGGCTCAGCTTTCAGCCCTGAGCCACTCTGGCCCAATCCCAGTCCCCTGGTTATTGTCATAAGCGGTCCAAGCGGTGTGGGCAAGGACGCTGTGATAAAAAAGCTCAAGGATTTGAACGAAAACTTGCATTTTGTGGTCACGGCGACGAGCCGGGAAATGCGGCCCGGTGAAGTTCATGGTAAAGATTATTACTTTGTGAGCAAAGAGGAGTTTCTTACAATGGTTGAGAGAAATGAGCTTTTGGAATATGCATTGGTGTATGGAGACTATAAGGGTATACCAAAACAGCAGATAAGGGATTATATGGGAAAAGGGTATGACATAGTTTTGAGGGTTGACATTCAGGGTGCTCAAACTTTGAGGAGGATTCTTGGGAATTCGGCTGTTTTTATCTTTTTGATGGCAGAGAGTGAAGCCAAGCTTGTGGAGAGGTTGATTGATAGGAAAACTGAGACTAAGGAGTCTCTTCTTGTTAGAATTGCCACTGCCAGGGAGGAGGTGAAGCATGTTAACAATTTTGACTATGTTGTGGTCAATGCAGAGGGGAGGTTAGACAATGCTGTGAAGTTGGTCGAGTCCATTATCGACGCAGAGAAAGCTAAGGTCCGGCAGAGGCATTCTGTGATATAGCTTTGGCTGTAATTGAGGTATTGGGTTGAATTTTTTTATTTTTTTTTGGGAATTGTACTTGCAATTGTTACAATATTGACTGAATTAGTCTTGTTTAACAATTTCAGTTCTGTTGGTTGTAGGATGTTGTTTTCTTGTAACAATTTGAATATGAAGTTTATGACCTAGGAGAATCAACTTCTTTAAGAAGTTGCAGTTCACAATGTGTTACATCTCGTTTTGGAGTGAGCAAGATAAATAATATTTTCGTCATCGAGTCCTTTTGAACACCACATGTTAAAAAGATTTTGTTCTGGAAATTGGAAACACATTATTAACTTTATTAAAGTTATATCCTTATTGCTTTATTGTAAAGAAGGGGACTATTCACTATAGTTCATGGGTACAGCGGTAGATATGGTTGGACTTGATGCATTAATTAATGTAATGTATGTCAAGTACGAGAAAATTAGGTTCGTTGGAGTTGCTTATGTGATGAACTTTTAGTAAGCTGAGTTTGTAATGCGATAAGCATAAATAAGTGATTGTCTAGATAAAGTTAGACTTTAGCTACGACATTTTTTTTTATGCCATGCAACTCTCTAATAACCAATGTGTTCATTTCTTACCCAAAATGTTTCACTGCCTGCTGCCTCTGCTGGCTTAAATTACATTTGCAATGGTTGACTTGTCTGTTAGCCAATATTTACAGAAATCCTGTCCCTGTGTATTAGCTGAAAATTTATACAGGTGAATACTAGAGAAGGCAATTTATGTTAGCTTCGCTTATTCCCTAAATGAAATCTGGTTTTGATCTCCTTGCAATCAGGTATCACGTATGTAATAAAGGTAAACAACATCCGATCAACCTACCTATGCCCCCATCTTTTGCTTAATTGATTCTGTAGCTAAGGGGCTATTTGGTTTTGTTTGTCATTTGGAGGATGCAAAAAGTTACTGCACGATTTTGTGAAGTCTGGATCTTGTGTGTTGTAGTCATTTTTGTTAATGGCTATGGTTCAAGACTGTCACAATCTGACCACAAACATCAAACTGATGAGCAGTTGATTTTCCTAGGAATTAGATCCTGCATCATACATTACATTTATGTTTTGCAATGTGTAAATGGTTATGGTTCATGATGATGTTTAAGTGGTTAAGTTCATCATTCAATCCTACCCCTTTGTCATCTTTTTGTTTGTCTTAAATGTTTATTGATCGAGAGCTGACATGTGCTGAGTCGCTGGCATTGACTTCCGCTTCCTCTAATATTTCTTTATGCTTATCAGTCCAACTGTTATCTTAACTCTACCATTCCAAGACACCTTCAATCAAAAACACTTGAATAGAAATACTCTGACAATACAAAAGCCATTCTATAGCTTAATAATCTTCCATGCTCAATTGAGTTGTTTTTACTCTGAGCAGGAATTTTGCTAAGAGAGGGACCTGAAAATCCTAGTAATCATAGCATGTAATAAGAGACATTCTAGGAATTTGGCAATTTTCTCTATCGCACTTGTTTGGAAAATGCTGGAGAATGTTGTTGAATCAATTGATACATTAAATGGTGTATATGCTGCTATTTGTTTGCTTATTTGTGTTAACAGCTATTGCTACTATTATATCTCTTCTGGATGATAAGGATAGACATGGAAATGGTAATCCAGTTGCTTTTGTAGCTCGTCTCTTGTCCGAGTTTTCTGGAGGGCATGGAAGCATAATCAAGTGTTGCCTGCTTCAAAATTTTCTGCCAGTCCTACAGTCAAGAGATTTAGTGGAACTCCAAGGATGAATTTTTCTTGGTGTATTCTGAATTTATGCTAAAAAAGCTTTGAGATGAAATTCTTTATTTTTTAATGTCAGATATTTATTGAATTATATGTTAATACATTGGTATTCAGTATGAATGGAAGATTCATTTTGTGGGTTTAGTTGTTTAGAATTTGAAAAGAAAAGATTTGTTTCTATGAAATCGGAAATGCGCGAATTGGATTGGTAGTTCTTTAGACAGTTGCTATATCCTTGGTGCTACTGTTAGGAGGTTTGTACGCAAACTGTTGTCCAGTATATACAAGAACACCATTGCCATTGCTAAGCTGGGGAATTTGATCAGGTCGTGATCTTGCTTAGGAGGCATTTGATCAACTTGTCTAAAATATGTTCTTCTCCGCGTGCAAAGCCAAATTATCTTACTCTACCCACCTGCCTTCCTGCACCTACTACCATCGTTAAACCCACCTAAAACAATGGACTCATTCAACATCCAAAAGCATATTAAACCCACCTAAAATAGTAGGCTCCTTCAATGCCCAACTTTAAAATGTTGCTTCAAATACTCTTTTCATTCTTATTTCTCTGAAGCGATAGTCTAAACTACAAGGATGTGGAGTTTCTCACACACATACACTACCAATGTGCTAAGGAGGTTCGAACACGATACCATTGGTCTGCAAATCAAGGCTATTTTCCACTGCGCTAGACTCTGTTGGCATTTCTCTTAAATTTTATAGCAAACGTAATGTGTTCAAATGTTTTAGGCCTTGCAGGCAATTTGAGTGTGGGTTTATATGTTTAAAGACCAAGTATAACAGAATGTTATGAAAAAGTTTGCGCGTATATTGATCTGTATAAAAGGAATCAAGTTGGAGCCAATAAGCACAGGGAATTTCCTAATCATACAAGCTAAGTTAGAGCCAAAGCCAATACAGAGCTCAAATGCATCTTGCAAGCTAATTGCCTTGAAGCTACTGTCTTTTAGTTGCAGCGCAATACACTCTTTGATAGAGATTGGATGGAAAAATCGAAATAACAAAAAAAATAAAAATAAAAACTCATAATAATAATCGTGCACTCAAAAGAAATTGGAGAATTCGACCGAAAAAAAAAAAAGGAAATTGGAGAAGGGGAGGGACCCACTTGAGCCTTTAACTTGACACAAATGGACTCCATATTATCCATTTCTGCAAGCTACAACCAACTAATTTGCCAAAACTGCACATTAAAGGAATTCTTTAATAAGCCACACAAATAATAAAAAGAAGAACAAGTCAGAACTATTTTTATAAATAAAAAAAAATTAGTCTAGAGAAAGAATATGCTTTATGTAATACTACATATAGAGGAATTATGCTGGCTTAAGCATGGATATGATTAAAAATGGATTTTAAAACTGACAGGACTCAAATTTTGGTTCATCAAATGTTATAATTAACAGTGGACAAGTGGTTTAATTTGATAACATTATGTCCTTCAATTCAAATCAATCCATATCTTTGATATTGCAGATGATTAGTTGGCATAATGTAATTCCATTCGGATGTTGATCTAATAAGAGGACGACTAGGAGGAAATTATGGATTAAGAACTACTTGTACATATAAAAAGACAGAAGTCAATGTCTCTTAGGAATGACCAAAACTAAATATCTCTCAGGACAAGAGAAAAAAGAAAAAGAAAAATAGAAGTCAATATCTCGTCTCCAAGTAAATGTAGGTTAGGCCAGTTGGTCAAGACAGTGTGCCCTCCTTATTACACCCAAATTCGAACCTCCTCCTATAAATTAAAGTAGTTTACAACATAGCCCTTGTACGAAAAAAAACAAAAAACAAAAAACAAAAATCTCGTCTCCAAGCTACAATACATGGTAAAGTGGTAAAGTTGAGAGAAGAAAAACCAACCAATTTCTTCAGCAAGCACACACCCTTTCTTTCTTATTGGCTTTACTCAGAAAAGAAGTGAAAAACTGAAAAGTAACATAAAAGACACTTTTGGTTATAGCAGAAAAAAAAGGTAGGCTTTTGTGCCCTTAGTTGATTTATCAAGAAACTAATTAATGGGCTGTGGAGGCAAGCAACATGCATTAAATCAAGACAGGAGGAGGAGGAGCAAATCAAATGCCAACAAAAATAACGAACTTGAGAGGAAAATGAGGGAAACGAAAGCAATATGACGTTTACTCTTTCCTCTTCTTTTCCACAGAGTTAACGTGCTCCCCAAGCTCATTTTCCTCCTAGTTTATAAGACCACCAACCCCACATTCTGTCAAAGACAACCACACAACTTCAAAGCTGAGCCAATTGATTGAGACACAGTCATATTTCGTCTTCATCTACTTCTGCAAAACAGTAATATTTGATTGATTGATAGAGAGAGAGAGAGAGAGAGAGAGAGAGAGAGAGAGAGAGAGAGAGAGAGAGAGAGATCTAGTAGCTGCTGCTCTGAATCCAGCAACATGGTTCAGCCTAATAACTCAGCAGAAGGTGAAGGAAGCATTCATTTGCAGATTGATGAGCTCCACAGGCTCAATGAAGCCAGAAGTGCAGACAACACAATCTTTGAACCTCAGAGCAGTATTGAGAAAAGAGAGCGTAGCACTGCAACTTCTGTGGGTCCAACCACACCAGCAGTTCCTGCACCAGAAAAGAAGCTAACCCTTTTCGCTCTCCGGCTAGCTGTGCTCGAAAAAGCAGCAACCGGCCTTGGAACTCTGGGTTTCATCTGGGCAACAGTTGTTCTTCTAGGCGGTTTTGCCATCACCTTAGACCAAACAGACTTCTGGTTCATCACAATCATTTTGTTGATTGAGGGGACTAGGATATTCAGCAGAAGCCATGAACTTGAATGGCAACACCAAACCACTTGGTCTATTGCTGATGCCGGGATCAACAGTTTTCGCGCATTGAAAATCAGCTCAAGCTTCATAATTGAGAACATAAAAGCAATTTTCAAGCCTGTTCTTGCAGTTAGGAATCAAAGTCAACGCAGCAGAGACATTGCAAGGACTATTGATTCAATCACTACCAGAAATTCTGATCTTCAAGGGAAGATAGTTCGGACTTGGACGAGCTCAGAAGTCCCTCTGCTACCATATGCTCAATGGATTTTTCGTGCGAGGCATATCAGTAAGATGCTCTATTGGCTCCAGCTTCTCTCAGCATCAGCTTGTGTTGCTCTCTCATTAATGAAGCTCATCAAGCGCAACTATGGTGAGATAGAAAAAGGAGACACTGACAAGAGAAATAGGGAGTCTGCTCTGAACATTTTCTATTCATTGGCCTTGGCAGAAGCTCTGTTGTTTCTGATGGAGAAAGCTTATAGTGAGTTTATGATCAGCTATTGTAATCTGCTGGATGAGGTAAACAAGGAGTGTGATTTGGGGCCTTCAGGCTTAGTTTCAATTAAAAGGTTCTTCTATGATGCCTATTCAAGATGTGTCAATGGAAGCATTTTTGATGGCTTGAAGATGGATATGGTTACTTTTGCCATGGACTTATTGGCTTCAAATTCCTCAGATGAGCAGCTTATTGGAGCTAAAATTCTTCGCCAATTTGCAATGAAGCAGCAGTATTCAGATGATACCTTACAGAAGATTGGTATAAATATATCAGTGATAGAAAGATTGGTTGAGATACTGAATTGGACGGATCAAGAAGAAGAGGAAATCCGACGATCAGCTGCAGAAATATTGTCGAAACTGGCTGGCAAAAAGCAGAACTCCATCCGGATAGCTGGAGTTCCTGGTGCAATGGAATCAATTTCATCTCTGCTCCAAACCTGCAGAAGCTCAAGTGGTGCATCTGATGAAATCAGTGAAAAGAGAATCATTTCTGACCATGCACACTATGGATTCTTGACATTCAATCATTTAGGATTGCTTATTCTGAAGAAACTTGCCCGTGACCACGACAACTGTGGAAAGATTGGAAACACAAGGGGCCTCCTACCAAAAATCATCGATTTTACACATGCTGAAGAGAGGTTTCTGAAGGAAGAACATGGTACACCAGATGATCAGATAATGACACTGAAACGCTCCCTGCAATTGGTGAAGAGGCTTGCAAGCACAACAGGCAATACAGGAAAGAATCTAAGGAGAAATCTTTCGGAGATAGTTTTCACAATCAGCAATATCAGAGATGTTCTGAGATATGGGGAGAAACAGCCAATGCTGCAACAATTGGGCATTGAAATCTTAACCGGTCTGGCACTGGAAGAGGATGCAACTGAGAGAGTAGGTGGAACAGGTGGAGTTCTTAAGGAGTTGTTCAACATTTTCCTTAACAAGGGAATGCTGGAGAATGATAAACAAGTAATAACTAAAGCTGGAGAAGCTCTAGCTATGCTGGCATTAGAGAGCAAGAATAATTGTCAGCGTATCTTAAAACTGGGGGTACTGGAAAGCCTTGTCCAAGCTCTAGAGGTTCGATTGGTTCGTGTGAATGCTGCTAGAATCCTAAGGAATTTGTGCACTTACAGTGGCTCAAACTGTTTCCACCAGCTAAAAGGGATAACGAATGCAACGCCTATAGTAAGTGCTTTCTTGCCACAATACCTACCTGCATTTTTATTCCTCACCAACTTATGTTATGTAGGAGTAATGTTTTCTTGTCAGACACTCTAGTATATTACATTGTCAAGTCGACAACGTGAGACGATATAAATTGTGGGGCAAAGAGAAGATTTCCCATCATGTAGATTAGGAAGAGGCAGTATAGACTAGGTTTCTATTCATACTTCACCAAGATCATGATTATGGAAGACAACTTTTGATCATTTCTTATTCATTTGGCTCCCGTGCAGGTGCTCAAGGCAATCATGTCAGAAGAACACAAACTCCAGGAAGTAATGGTTGGACTAGCTGCACATGTTTTAGCATTCTTGTCTCCAGAAGAATCAAGCCTCATGTTTAAAAAAGCTGAAATTACGGAAGCAGAGGTAGCTAATGAGTTAGTCCAGATTCTGAAGAAGTACAGGCATCCACCAATTAAAGTTCCAAGAATAAGGAGGTTTGCCATAGAGCTGGCAATTTGGATGATGGAAGACAAACCAACAAATGTTCAAAATTTCAAGGATTTTGGGATGGAGAAGGAGCTGGAGTTTGTGCTAGAGACCACTGCAGAGCTTGAAAGCTTCAACATTTTCTCTGGTGCTGTAGGAATGAGCAGGCACAGCACAACAATCCACTCACTGGTAGAGACTGCATTGAGGCTGCTAGCTGATGGGTAAAAACCACGCAATATGGTTGATTTAGCCCAAGTCAGTACTGCAACAATTCATTTCATAGGTGGAGATTGAAAAATCCTGTAAATATGTTTGCCTTCAAGTTAATCAGTCCACACAAAATTAAATTCTTTTATTTATTTTTTTATTTTTCGAGAAAGGTTCTTATACTTTTAAGTTAATATTACAAATGTGATTATATTATACGAACAATTGAAATTAAATTTCTAGGCCCCCTGTCACAATATTGTAGCTTTTTTTTATATTATAAATATTTATAAAAATACCCAATCCTAGACATGTATTTATAAAAATACCCAAGCACTATTTAAACATAGAAACATACCCAAAATGGGTTTTGGGTATGTGTGTAATGATGGGTTTTGGGTATGTTTATAAATGGATTTTGAGTGTGTGTAATGATGAGTTTTGGGTATGTTTATAAAGTGTTTTGGGTGTTGGGTATTTTTATAATTTCAGCCCCAATTTTGGGTATTTTAGTGAAACTCCCTTTTTTTTTTTCCCTTGCAAATTGTTAGCTGAAGACTGTCATTTACTTCTTGGATGAATTTCAAAGAAAGTCTAAGACCATCTTTAATAAGACTTTTTCACAATCGAAATGCGAGTTGGAAAATTAAAACTGCAAGTTGGAACAAAAACATTGGGTAAGAAATTTGGACATTTCCAGGAGCATTTGAACTGAATGTCTGATAGAAAGAATCCAGGGAGAGAGAAATTTGGAATCTAATTCATCTCCTTGACCACCAAATAAACATAGGAATGTAATAGGATGATATTGAAAGATCATTTCCGACATCAATAACACCAACAGAAAATATATTCATCTGTGTTGTGAAAACTGAACGTAGAGAATCTGCAACTGAAAAACCATCTCTCTTTTTTGTTACAACTAAAAATACAACTTCACAGCACTGGTTCTATTCTTTTCCTTTTTTGTTTGTTTTTTTGTTTTTCCAGTCGAGCATTTTACAAATCATGAACCCTGACACTTTAGTTACAAGCCAAATACATCATAATGTCTAAGGAGAGAAGCAAAAAATAGAAGGAAAGAACAGTCATCTTATCGACTGTGGTTGTTTCTAAAGAAGTTAAAATCCCAACGACGAATCAAACCATCCATGACATTGCTTGCAGGGTTTTTTACAACCGTTACTGTGGCTGTTGTGTTAGCTGACATGTCAGAATCTGAGGTGCTTTGGATGCTTGCTGGTGGTGTATCACTTTGGGTAGATGGCCCGGAGCTTCCCAAATCCATTATGGATGGAGGAGTTTGCAATGCAGGTTCTGTAGATGGAACTTTCGTGCGAGTTTGATCCTCAGGTCTTGAATCATGGGCTTCAACTACTGAAGTACAAGTGGATTCTGTTTTCAAAGACCCATGGTGCCCAACCGATGTGGAAGTGGATTCTGTCTCCAACAGCTCTCGCTGCTCTGCAGGAGAGGCATCATCCAGCCGGTCATCCTTTTGGGACAACTTTGAATCAGGGGTATCCCCTGGTGGTTGCTCTTCTGCTTGTGGGCATCTCATTTCTAAGTCTTTTAGTGACAAGATCACTGCTTCCATGAACATCTGAAAATTTGGACGAGTTAAACGTTAATGCAACAAATTCATCAGCCATTCAAAGAAGTCCTGGATCTAGAATTCATCCCAGTTATGACTCACCCTTTCTTCCTCATCCACATCACTAGGAAAACCTGCCAGGTCATCAAGTTGGTATTCTACATATTGATCATCGTCCATTGTGGTTGGAACATGGGGTTCACAAGGATGGCCGTTTGAGAATTCAAAGCTAATCATATCAGAAGATGATGGACAAAGATCATTATCAGCTTTTCCATCCTGTACCACCATGCATTGTCAAGACATATAATTCTGTTAGCTTTCTAGTAAATAGATCGAACCAGACAAGAAGACTTAGAACTATTCAGGCACCATTACACCAGAAAATTTGAGACCCACCAGGCTCATCATGTACCAATCGGTCACAACTCACAAGTTTCACCTATGGTGCCACATAGTTTTTTTATTTTAAAATTATTAATTTGAGAAAATATTTCAGAAAACTGATCAAGCAATCAGGCATACACCATGTTACCACTTCATGTTAATTACGAGGAATAAAATTTGGGACTTTGGAAGCAATTTAACAAGAGAAAAGGCAAGATACCTTGGATTCAGATTGGTCATCTTTAGATGAAATACCAGAAGGAACCTGAGACAAAATCAAATACCGAAAGAAAAAGAAAATTATTTAATATACATGGAGAACCCAAACTGCCAATTATTACCCTTCTAAATTCATGTGTGTGTGTGTGCGTGTCTGATGACAGGAGAGGGGAGGGGGTGATCATTGTATCATACACTAAACGTCCTTTAAAAGATTTTACGTTATTCCCACTCTTTAAAAGTGGTAAATGTCTGCAACCTCCTTATATATTGTGTACCATTTTGACATTTGGGCAACTAAAATAAAATGCAACCAATAACTAACCTCAGTCCGACTCATGGGTCTTCTCGAACGGAGCTGTCTAATGGCATCCTGTTGGCTGCTGCTCGTTGCTGGTTCTGCAGGTAACAACAATCAATAGGAGATTGAGTAAGAAAGAAGTTGCCCAATAAAGATCCTGTCACAAATCAGCACTTAAGAAGTTAAAGAGACAATAAGGTACTTCAGTCATGCCTTTAGAAGCAGTTGAACGTCCATTATCATAATTAACTTCATGCACACTTCTCCAACTACCCTGCAGGTAAAGCAGTCAACATTCAAGAAGGGCTGTGAATGAAAAATCTAGCAATATACAATAGGAACTTACAGCCGGATGAATTGCAGTTATTTTACCTTACCAAAGTTATCGTGCAGAGTGTCAAAAAAAGTTCCCCCAACCTCATCCTCCGGGGGTTGCAAAACATTGTGGAAAAAGATATTTATCGAATCAAAGTAGAATTGAGGTCGTGGAGAATTGTGATCTCCCTCAAATTTGATGATATTTTTGTCTCCCTGCAAAAGTTTACATTATATGACAAGCCAACATAACATTAGACACCTAGAGTTCCAGACAACAGACAGAAAAACTGAGAGAGATGCAACAGCCGTCATCCACATAAAGATATAAAGATATTCAGAAGAGAATGCTGAAAATCAGAGTATAGTAGAAGCAGGAGGCATCTCATTTTGATCAATTGGGAAGGGGGGAATCGAACTTGGAACTTCTTCCAACATTGGGAAGAGAAATACCACTAGACCATGCATAATGAATTGAAGAAGCAATTCATAAAATATACCAGGAAATCATTAACCAACAAGCTCAATTTCAAAAGTGTGCAAAGAGTTTCCCCAATATTTACTTACTAAACTCCTTAGACACCACAGAGAATTGAAAGTTCTTATTTGTTTCAATTCCATGTAAACGTTGTATGAGAAGCAGCATTTGGCCATAAGATGCATGCCAGCATGTAAATCATGTCAAAATTATTGTAACAGCATCATGGATATTTACCATATAAGCCTCAAATATACGATCTGAATGATGGGGTTGTATAAAATCATCATCAATGGCATGGCCAAACAAAGCTGGAACAAAGCAAGAGTTTGCCACCTACAAAATGAAAAAAAAAGAGAGATTATTGATCATTTTTCCAACATCAATTTCCTGCATCTGCAATTACTATAATAACCAGTGCAAAAATAGGCACAGGGATGTCGCCAGAAACTTTTGCTGTATAAGATAAACTCCAATTGTGTGAAAAATCATAATGACGAGAAACAAAGAACATAAATGTGTGTTTTCTATTCCAATGTGTTTACCTTAATGGTGTTCAGATTCGTTATGTCAAATTTAGCCTTTTTCTGGATAGCTCTTCGCATGTATTGGATTGCAAACTTCACCTAAAATAAACAAAAAATAACAGTCATGACTGGGGTTCCTTGCAGTCAATTGGTTAGCCTTCTCAAAAGAAAAAAAAAAGGTAGTCTCAAAAACTGATAAACAAAAGAACTTCATTGCTCAATATGGGCAAAAACTGATAACGAACATCAGAAAAGGCTCTAATTTGTAGCAATTTATTCCCCAGTACGCACCAAAAACACAGCTGCAATATCCCAAATAATCAGACATATTAGGACCTACTTACAGTGAACTTTGGTAAACGGATTTTGTAGGTGTCCACCAGTTCCATCATCAAATCAACCAAATCAGAGAACGGACTGTCAAGAACCATTCCTGCTATTGAAGGATCCTCAGCTCCATACAAAAGACTGCCAAATATGTATATTGTTAATGGCAGATAAACATGGCCAAACAACCGCAGGAGGCTAAGTAAATCAGCAAAGGCAAAGTTAGAGCGCTGCACGATAACAATATGGAATTCAAACCTGCCATGGCCACAGATTTCTAAAGCGTACCGGATAGCAACTATATGCACACACCAAACAAAAGCATGTCTGCTCGACAGATATATGGTCCAAAAGCTATGAACTAAATAAGCAGCTGATCATGTACATAAATACATTAAGTACAGAATTGTTTATGAACAAAGCACAAGAATTGAACATGGTAATGAGCAAATCTTAACTTCTTGATCCTCAAATAATAACTTACTCTCCAAAGATCTAATTATTTGTGCCGACCATACATCTACTTTCTTATATTGTTGATATGTTAATACATTTTATCCACCATCATACATCTGCCTACTTCCTTAGGTTTTGAGACAACGTTTGCATGTGGGCAAATACATAACAGCAAAACTTCTCAGAAACTCAGGGGAAGACACCAGACATATCATAAGATTTTAGATTTGCTAACTTATTGGGCCATACAGGAACTGAACACTTGAACCAAAAGCTGCAAAACCTATCTTGAATGGCTAGTTCTGAGTCCTATATTAGGTTTACAAGTGCAATAACAAAACTATGGCTGGTCTACCAAATTTTGTCTTAGAAAGTTAAATAAAAATTCGAGAGTTTAGTAAACATCAGAGACTATGGGACTGCTAGAACAACATGAACCAATGACTCACGGATAACATAACAATTCCAAGTTACACTAAAAATAGAAAACTGATCTTTATTTGCTTTTTTAACCTTCGATGCAAGTATGGAAAGATCTCCTCCGTCTGCATTCAAAAAATGCAAACTTAACATAGAGATATAAGTGAATGAGCAAAACCTAGTAACAGCACCCATTGAACGGCCCCACAAACCAATCAAAGAGACATTTCCATCTGCTCGCAAATAATCAACCACAGTCCTCAGGTCGTCCTTCTGAAAAACAGTTAAGAATGTCAGATGTCAATTCTCATGATGCACAATAGTAACTACATGCATAAAGGTGATCCAGTGCATCAGGAGCCAAAGGGAAAATGTCATGATTTTGTTGATAGAGAAGTTCAGGCATTTATCGTCATGTAGATGGTTTTGATAGATCGAGAAAAACTTAGGAAATGCCTTCAATGGATGTATTGACTTGAATTTGGATACTCACTGGACCAATTATTAAAGATACCAAATAACATGATGGTACGCGGAGTGTTTAAGTAAACAAGCTGGAGATAATGTGGATTAAACATAATACCACATTTGTAGTCTAGTCTTTAGATAATGAATTTGTCTTCAATAGATACTGAGCACTTACTTCATTCCACCCTAAAGTGACGTGCTCTCCTCCTGAGAGTCCGGATCCTGAGAAATCAAGAGTGAAAACTGTAATATTTGAAGGCAGCAAAATAATAGCTGCTTCACTGGCGTCAGCCCTGCACCCACTGTCAACAAAATATGCTGCAGTCAGTCAAGTTAAAATCTATGGAGGAAAAAAAAGGGCATAAAACATCATTTAGATGAGCACAGGCACATAACTACCATATACTTAAGTGATAACTAGCTACGAAGTATGAAGTGGCCATGGAAGCGTAAATTTTGGTTGATCATCTACTGGTCTGCAATAATATAGGCTGGAAAAGGATATGTGCAGCAAATATCAATCATGTAACTCTGAAAGTATTTTTACAAATTTAACTGGCAGTACAAATGATCGAAGAATTAAGATTTAATTGCATATTCACACATGGGACATGTGCAACAAATATCAATAGGGCTATTTCCAGGGGACCTTCCAATGCTATAGCCTATCTATCTAAAGACAACTAGCATTTCTCTTTTTGTATGTAAATACAATTATACAACCTTAAAAAAATGCCACAATTTTTTATTTTATTCTACTACAGTAAATCATTCCAGGAATAAGATGGGGAGTGGACGTATTCTTTCAGACACAAATATAATATGACATTTTGAAACATTGAAAATTGCAAGGCTGCCACAGTGATCACTAAGAATAGACATCATTCCCATACCTTAGGGTTTTTTTTAAAAAAAACCAAAGGAAACAATGGCCTTCAGTAATTATTGAAATTATGATGCCCACTACTTCATTATTGAGATACCATTAACAATCAAGGAACCCCACCTTCTTGGAGAAGACTAAGGCCATTTAGATTTAGATTTTTTTAATTTTAGAAGAATTAAGGCCATTTAGAAATTGATTCATTAATAGTTACCTAAATGAAATCCATTTCTGTAAATCACAAGGAAGACAATCTTATAGTTGACTACTCAATTTTAATTTAAAATCTCATTCTTCCAAGTTCTGAAATGTGAGAAATACTGTAAACTCTGTATGAAATCCCCTTGCAACAAACATCATCAAGCATAAGTTTCAGTTATACTCACCTGTTTCCGTGACAGTATATTACACAAGGCAAAGGCTTTTCTTCAGGACTAACAATGGGCATGTAATGACTGCACTTGAGGACATCACCCCGGCTGTTTTTCACCTGCAGGATTTTCAAAAGGATGACAACCACATGGAATCAAGTTATAGGCAGACATAAATTGAACATCACTTACATAAAAGTTTTCGAGACAAGCAAACACCAGAGTTGTATTGATTAGAAAGTTAAGACAAGCATCTCTTACATGTTGCATTCCAAAGGAGAAGAAGAACAAGAACAAAATACTTAAAGAAATTAACCGGAACTACTTATACAAAAGGTCATGGCTGTCTCAACAGCATTTCCCCATTTTTCAATGCTTCATGAACACTACATGAGATGCACTTCTCACAACCTAAAATAGGTGATAAGTTAGCTAGGGTTGACCAAAATTTGTCAGACCTGTATTTGACACAGGCAGTTCTGTACCCCATGGTTGGGCCGGACAAAAAAATCTGCTTTGGCCATAAGTAGCAGGTTTAGCACTGCACTGCACCTTCCACCCAACCACACCTTGACTAACACTTTCTTCAATTTTACTCAACAAAAAAGTTAAATAAAAAAACTATGCATATGTTCTGAATTAAGAATTTCCAGAGTTGAACCCCACAATTGTACCATCTGTTTCTGTACTATAGTGCATTTCCAGCAATGGGAAGAAAAGCTTATATATTCAGAAGGTAAAATAAAATACTAATCTACCTTCCTCAGACATTAAAAAAAATGGAAGCTTACCTCCACATCTTTTCTTTGGTACCATTTCCCTTTCAATATGAACTCTTCATCCAATAAATCATTTTTTTGGTCGTATTCAGCCCTGAAACCAAACATGGATAAACTCATAATTTCTTCAAATAATTAAAAATTACTTAAGTTTCTATCTCTAAAGGAAAAATAAATCATTTAAATTTCAACAATTTCGTATGGTATCAAGTTCGACAAATTAATTGCCCATAACTAAAATTTATACCAGAATAAACTGGGAAAGAGAAAAACTGAAATTAAAATGTCTTGCTTTCCCACATATGAAGAAGAAAAAAAGGTTCAACTCCAGCTCTACCACCGAAAAGCAATATTTTGCTCTGCTTAGTTTGAGAAGATACTAATCAAATCAACTATCAATCATATGCTTCATATTCTAATTCTTTATATTCAACAAAAGTAAGGAAAAAATTGGAAAAAAGCTGAATTCTACAAGAACGAATAGTTTAATTGGGCTTAGTTAAATAAAGGGTTTCATTTTCCTACAGACCCACATGGGAAAGTAACTAAGATTCAAAATTTCAGCTTCCAATTCATATTTCTCAGAACATAAACAAAAACCCATCAAGAATTCAATCTCAAAAGCAAGAACAGAATCTCACAGATAAAGAAAGAGCTAGAAAGTAAGAGAGGGTTAGAGGGTATTGTTACCTGGGAGGCCGAATAATAAAGTTGACAAGCTGCTCCATAGATTCAAAATGATCTTCCCCTGAGCTGTAAGCTGTTCTTCAACAATTTTAACTTCTTTCAGCAGATACTCATACAATAAATAATATAATATGATTAAATTACACAAAAGTAATACCAGAAAAAGAACTTGGTGGGTGATCACAAATTGCTCAGACCAATAAGAAACAAGAAGAAGAAAAAGAAGAAGAAGAAAGACCGGCCTATGCTGTTGGTGGGGGTAATATCAGGCTGGTGGTGCCTAGAATTTGTGTGTTGTTTCCTTGCAAACAAGAACAAAAGCTTGAGTATTTTATTATTTGCTTGCTTCTTCCGAGTCCCGACGCATGTCTCTCTCTTGCCTCTCTGGCTCTTCTTCCTTTTTTTCGCCCAACCTCTCTGGCTCTTCGCACGTGTTACGTGTATGCCTCCATTTCAGAGCTGGCCCGGCCTCAGGTCGGGTTTACGGATCTGTATTCGGGTTGGCGTGCTAATATGTATAAAATGCATCAAAATCGTACATGAATAGAAATCAATGGTACTCTTGGTTTTATATTGAGTTTTAATTTCAAGAATAAAATAATGAAAGTTGTTATTGACATTTAAAAATAGTTATCTCATTTTCTTTTGGGGTAAGTGGTAATGGAAAGACATACATAATGGGTTATTTTTAATTATCAATAATAATTCTTAAAATAGTGCGTATTGAATCTACACATTACGCTAATTGTATTTTTTAAATAATTCTTAAACGCAATGTACATGAACTATTACTCTAATTTTGGATCTCATCTCATTTCATATCTTATTTAGCACAAAACATGTCACCTTATCTTATAGGATAATATTTAAACAATTTTATGAATGTTTATGTGCTAGGGTGGTATGGCTTGGACCTCTAATTTCTATCCCAATGAAAGGAAATAAACAAATACAAACCTAGCGTATTTGAGAACATATTTGTGTATTTTTGAATGGCGTATAGAAAAAGGGACACACATGCAAAACAAAAAAACAAAAAAAAACAAAAATCCAAGTTAGTGGGCTTCAAGGGCAGCCTCTCATTTGCATCAAAGGTTGAATAGATAAAGCAAAACAGGTTATGATAATGACGATGGAGCTTTCATGGAAACTCATGATGTGAAGCAGCACCCACCTTACCAAATGGTGTTCCACTCGTATTATACCGGCACTTGTGTCAGCAACACAATAAGGATCATTCATTTCATTTGCCTTAAGCAATGGGCAACCAACCACACTAATTCCTAAAGTGACATTTGTTCAACTTCATTCCTTTACCTCTCCCAAAAGAGGAAGCCTATACAGCAGCAAATGAAGGCATGCCAATTCCATTAGGGGATACAAATATTCTCATGTCCATGTTCAGACAACAAGAAAGATTTGTGCTTTGTATTGGGTTCTCCCATTTTAAATAAATAACACACAAATAAAGTATAGAGTGAATAAGATACTCATTAGCTGAGCTTGACATATTGATTATTCTGGAAAATAAAAAATTTTGAAAATGAAATTATTATAATAAAGGAAGATTAAGAAATGGGTGTTGTCTGTAATCATGCTGCATTGAAGTGATGTCATGATCATAAACAATAAGTCTTCTTGGTAGCCCATCAACTGACCTAGTTTGTTGGATTCTCGAACCTTGGGTTTGTCAAAGCCTTAAATTGGATTATGCAGATGAAGAATTTGTATGTAAAATGTGAGGTTGTCAACGTGGTCTAGTTCAATAGAAAATGGTCTTAACTTGCAGACTTGAGGTCTCATGTTCGGAATCTTACAACATTGTAGTTGTGTGTGTGTAAGAAATTCACCTTCCTTTTAGTTTAGATAATCGCTTATACTAAAAAAATAAGTGAAGCCATGTAAGTTGTTGAGAGGCTGAGGTTAGGTTACCGTAGAGGTAAAGTCACTTGCCTCTTTTCAAAGACCTGCTGCCATTGGGTCATGGAGACTAACCAAATAATGTACCAGCCACCAAAAAGAGGATACAATTGAAGGCAAGAAGCCAACAAAGACAAGGGTCCAATTTTGCATCCAATTAATTATTATGAGCTTTAAGTTAACCAACCATAGAGGTGGATAACAACAGCTGGGTGTACACTTTGTATTCATGAGACTTGTAGTTTTTCTTTATTTTTTTTAACAAGGTGATCATATTGCATTGGGGCCCATTTGGAACTAGACCTGCCATTGAACATTTTGGTATACAAAATTTACGCATAATATGTGAAAATTTGGGCCTAGACCAAGACCTATCACATTGACACTATAGTGATTTTCCAAAATGTTTTTCTTATAATGAGGAATTTTGATTTTATCATGTATATTATTTTTTAGGGCCTATTTTTAAATACAAGTAATATTAAGAAATGAGAAATTTGAACATAGGACCTTGAATGCATTAGTTAATGCTTTTGCCAATTGAGCTACAAGCCCCTTGCATTTTTAGTATATACTTTAATTTGAACAATAATCTTGAACATTTTCACATCATAGCAATGCTAGCTTTTGTCAAATTTGCATTTTTTGGATTGCATCATTTACTATCCAAAGCCCTCATTATTACCTAAAACTCAATGAACTGAAAGATAAACACAAAAAGGATTAAAAGCACAAGTTTAACTCAAAAACATAACCAAATCATAAGCTAGAAGGGTACAAAATGATATGTAAATATGCACCGATCATATGCCACTCGTGATAATTTTTCCACATTGCAATCTATAATTGGTCTGGAATAGCAAAACAGTGCTATCCCCATTTCAAACAAGTTTTTATACAAAATTAGGTGTACTTCATCGAAGAAAAGAAACACAATACAAAAACAGTACAAAGTCAACATGAAGGATCATAATGAAAATGGCATGAACAAACAAAAAGCCCAATATCCACAACCATTTGAGCTAAAATTTTAGTTAAACTGCCGGTGCCCCACTAATACAGTGATAAGAAGCTTTGTCTCCACCAAATAGTCCTGAATTCGAAGACTGGCATTGTAAAGTGTGTGTGAGTTTGCACCCACTCCCCCTCCCTCTCCCTAACTATTGGCAAAAAAAACTTTAGTTAAACTATTAGGAGCCCCATATTCTGAACCGTTCTCTACTCTTAAAATATGCCGTACAAAAATTATAGAGCATTTTTGAGAGATTGCAGATGCTTAGTTAAGAGATTCTGCACACAAAGCTTAGCTGGAGAGCATGTGAAAATCTGAGCCAGGGAATAGTAGATGAGCTATTCAACTGACATTTGAAATATGCCTCTCAAATCTCTATATATGAGACACCATATCTTGTGGTCCCAAAAGTGGCAATATAATGTCCTTTTCTCCACCAAGCATTTCGTTGCACATAATTACATCTTACTATTAATGTATATATTAAACATGCATCATTTTTTTTTTGGTCAGAAATTTCAAACATGCATCTTACAACTCAATTGTCGGTCCATGCAATGAAAAATACAAAAATTAAATACGAGTTTAGCATCTATTTTCATCGAAGATTGTTGAGTTGTACCTTCTTCACACAATTATATAATGTTTCTTTTGAAGCAAGACCCCAAGATCACTTTCTTCGACCCATCATAGTCTAAAGTAATATCTTTTTGTGTTTTGATGACAGAATCATGACAGAAGTGAGAGGATAGCAGATTAGTACAGTGAGAGTAAAGGAATCCAAGTTTCAAAAAAAAAGAAAAAAAAAGAAAAAGAAAAAAGAGAAGAAATTCAAGCCATGACTTTCTTGTTCTATATTACCTTGACTAGCATTAAAACCATACTATTTTCATCGAAGATTGTTGAGTTGTACCTTCTTCACACAATTATATAATGTTTCTTTTGAAGCAAGACCCCAAGATCACTTTCTTCGACCCATCATAGTCTAAAGTAATATCTTTTTGTGTTTTGATGACAGAATCATGACAGAAGTGAGAGGATAGCAGATTAGTACAGTGAGAGTAAAGGAATCCAAGTTTCAAAAAAAAGAAAAAAAAAAGAAAAAGAAAAAAGAGAAGAAATTCAAGCCATGACTTTTTTGTTCTATATTTACCTTGACTAAGCATTAAAACCATAGTTTATTTCCTTACACGTATGCACATCATAAGTTTCACATATATATTTTCTTTCTTTGTACTAAGTCGGGGGAGAAAGAAAGAAAGAAAGACTAGGAAATTTTATAAACCTTATATTACTAATCCAAGCTTCTCTTGGAGCCTCTTAGGGACCAAAAACTGTTTTCCTCCACACATCCACACCCCTATCTGCTAAGGAAAGGCCAACAAATCTTTTGCCCATCACCCATTATTTTATATAAAAACCCCACACCAAATTCCTCATCTACTCTCTCTCTCTTTCTTTCTCCCTCTCTCTCCCCTCTCACTCAGCTCTGAGCAGTTCCAGCAGAACCCAGTTTCAGCTTTGCTGTTTCCAGCCATTTTGCAGCAGTGATCAGGTAAGTTTTTCTCTTTTGTGCCAACTTCATCATCCATCGTATTTTTTGCTTGTATGAGGGAACAATGGGGAAGTAGAAAGTAGTGAACTTTTTAATTAATGGGTGATGGGTTAGTCAAGCATTCAGTCAAAAGTAGCAATGCCTGACATAATTGATGATTTGATCAACCTCTTGCCTGAACCTGACACAGTGGTGCAAAATTTGGACAGATGGGTAGATTTATATATAGTATATTTTCTTTCTTTTTAAAAATACCAAGTGGTGAGCTGAGTATTTTTTCCTTAATATCTAATTAGATTATTTTCCTTCTTTGCTGAAATTGTTGAGTTGGAGTGAACCAACCTCCCATTTTAGACAAAGAAAAAGAGTTGAGGGCCTTTTCGTCATTTAGTACAAGTGCCCCTTAAGTTTGTTCTCAAGAAGTCATGGTCCACATGATACGAGTCATGGTTGGACAATATAACTACACCCACTTGCCCGTCTAATTATTAATTAACAATGTCAACTCCAAACCCGCTAGTGCAGTGACTTGGAGCAATTGCTCCCCCAAGAAAAGGTCATGAATTCGAGTCCTAGTATTCGGGTAATGTGTGTAAGTTTAATATACTATCACCTCTCTCAATAGGAAAGGTTCTCAAAATAAAATAAAAAAACAATGTCAACTGCGCCTTTTTTATTTCTTACAATAATTCCTTCCCACTTGTCCTCAATAATATCAAAGTTGACTTCTTTAACTTTTCCATTTTTTTGGGGTTACATTTAAAACCAAATGGTCCAAACCAAACTGATCCATATACCATTGAATCAAGTGGATATGATATCCGAAATTGATATGGATATTAAACATGTATTTGATTAAACCATGACTCATTCAACCAAAAGAGAGAAAAAAAAAATCCCACAAGATGTTAATCATGCTAAAAACAATTGGGTGGTAAGGATAAGAAACCAATGCATTAAAAAGTGATTAATATAGAATTGGATTTAGAAAGAATAGGTAATGTATTCATACCAAAAAACAAATAAAGGAGAGATCAGGCGGTTGATTCAATGAATTTCATAGTTAAATTGTACAATAACTAGAAAACACTTGGCCTTGTTATAAGAGGCAGGGTTTGAAGTTGAACCCAACCAGTTGCTTGCTTTAAAAATCTGGGACTTTATATCCCAGAAGAAGATAAAGAGATGTGCCATCTGTAACTGCAGTTATAGTAATTGCAGTTTTATTAGGTATGCAGTGATTGTAAGTGCCAATATTGAATATCATGAAGATTTATCATTTGATTCTTGTTGCAGAAACACATGAAACTTGTGTTTTCTTAGTTTGAGCTGTTTAAATCTTGATGTTAAGATGCCTTGATGCATTTTCTTAGAACTTAAAATCCTTGCTGATGTCTTAACCTATTTTTCAGTGAGGAGTAGGCTAAAATGGCACAGATTTTGGCACCCACTTCACAATGGCAGATGAGAATTACAAAGGGCTCCACCACTGCTAGTCCTATGACAGCAAAGATGTGGAGTTCTCTATTGTTGAAACAGAACAAGAGAGGACCAACCAAGAGCTCTGCTAAGTTTAGAGTGCTTGCCGTCAAGTCTGAAGGTTATACCATAAACAGGCTGGAAGGTTTACTGAATTTGGACCTTACTCCATTTACTGACAGGATTATTGCTGAGTACATTTGGTATGTCTCTTCTTCTCTGTTAACATCTGAAATTCATAATGCACGTTAGCACTTGCAAACTAACCACAACCGAAAGCGATTATGATTAAATTATGAGGTTTTGGTTTCAAAGTTGGCTTATTTAGGCAGTCATTTTGTTTAATCTTTGATATCTTGGCAGGTGATAGCTTATAAGTGGCACTTTTGCCATTAATTTCCCATTCAGTTCACCTCCAAAACATATTTTGATGTAATACTATTTTGAAACAGGATTGGAGGTTCAGGGGTTGATGTCCGTAGCAAGTCAAGGGTATGATAAATTTCCATGGACTTTTAAATTTTAACTTTAACGTTTGATTATTCTCATGCATATATTCGTTTAAAAATTTCAGACAATATCAAAGCCTGTTGAACATCCGTCTGAGCTTCCCAAGTGGAACTATGATGGATCAAGTACCGGGCAAGCACCGGGTGAAGACAGTGAAGTAATCTTATAGTAAGATCTTGAGAAACAAATTACACTTATGGTTGTATCTCTTCATTGTTAAACCATGAAATTGATATAACTTCTATTTTCCAGCCCTCAAGCAATCTTTAAGGACCCTTTCCGTGGTGGCAACAATATATTGGTAGGCATCATACAAGTTCTGACAATTACAAAAATATTGCAATATAATCAGAAAATTTTGTATATAGATATTAGTACTATATTGTCCAGTGAAACTAAACACATAAACTTAATTGACATCATCCTATGTGCTTCATAAAGGTGATTTGTGATGCATACACACCACAAGGCGAGCCTATCCCAACAAACAAACGCGCCAGGGCTGCTGAGATTTTCGCGAACCAGAAGGTTATAGATGAAGTTCCATGGTAATTTCTCCTTCAATAATTTAGTCTTAGTTTTATTGTGTGTGCCTGCGTGTCTGCTCAGTGATTTGAACTAATTTTTTTATTCTCTCTTTTGTATTAATATATCTTTATGTATATTAATGTATTTTGTACCTATTACATAATCTATGATTTACATATTTGGATTCAGAGAATCCTGCTAATCTTGACTATTCTTCTCAGGTATGGGATAGAGCAAGAGTACACATTACTTCAAACCGATGTGAAATGGCCTTTAGGTTGGCCAGTTGGAGGCTATCCTGGTCCTCAGGTTGTTATTCTGTTTGCAAGTATCTGTCAGTTCAGCCTAAATATATTAATTGCTAGTCATTGATAGATTGTCTTATAAAATCATTCACCATGAGTAAGTACTGAGAAATAAAGCATTTCTATAGGGTCCCTATTACTGTGGTGCTGGTGCAGACAAGTCATTTGGCCGTGACATATCAGATGCTCATTACAAGGCTTGCCTATATGCTGGAATTAACATCAGTGGGACCAATGGGGAGGTTATGCCTGGCCAGGTTTTCCTCTCCCCCTTCTCTATCTTGTCCTGCTTTTGGTTCTGGATTCAAGTATTGTGGTTACCTTGCTTCATCCGTCGTTAACAATTATTGGTTTTATCATGCAGTGGGAGTATCAAGTTGGTCCTAGTGTGGGAATCGAAGCTGGAGATCATATATGGGCTTCAAGATACATTCTTGAGGTAACTTATCCCAATCTATTCTTGGACATGTAAAGACTATAAAAATCACTTCAATGAAGAAAGAAAACAATGGCTACCAATTATCTCAACATTTGTTTGGTACCAGCAGTGCACATCTTGTAATTCCCACTGGAATTTCTTCGTACTCATCCCTAAACTCGGTGGCAGTTTTGTAACTGAATGGTATCATTCAACTGGTGTTGGTGTGTTGGTGCTCCTATGATTGACTAAAATATTGTTTTTCCCCTACCCTGACAGAGAATCACTGAACAAGCTGGTGTTGTTCTCACTCTTGATCCAAAACCAATAGAGGTAATATAGTTTTTACCATATACCAAAATTTTCAGTGTATATGTGTAGATGAATGAACATGTCTATTTTGCATGACAGGGTGACTGGAATGGTGCAGGATGCCACACAAATTACAGGTATTTATTTGGACAATATAATATTTTGATGAAATCGGACATATATGTATATAGTTGGGTAGTATGCTACAACTGTTAGGAAAATATTGAATAATCATTGCTTTCACAGTACAAAGAGCATGAGGGAAGAAGGTGGCTTTGAAGTTATTAAAAAGGCAATTTTGAATCTGTCGCTTCGCCACACAGATCATATTGGTGCCTATGGAGAAGGAAATGAGAGAAGGTTGACAGGAAAGCATGAAACAGCCAGCATTAACACATTTTCTTGGGTATGCCCTAAAAAATTGCTAGCTGTTTGTATTGATTTTTTATTTTAAAGAGCAAGAATTGTTTTGCCATTATAATTTGTTATTAAATTCTCATTAACTTGAACTTGTAGGGAGTGGCTAATCGTGGTTGCTCAATCCGTGTTGGTCGTGAAACTGAGAAGCAAGGAAAAGGTACCACTACCACTTTCAGCATTATTATCTTAGCCTTTTTCCAAGACTGATGAAATGTTAAATTTCGCTCCTTTCTTTTTATGCTTCCAAGATGGCCTGTTGGCTGTTATACATATGATTTTCCAGAGGGGAGGAAAACAGTTTCCAACTTTTTTACCAAGGTCACAGCATATATTACACTTAAGTACATAATACTTAGACCAAACATATTGAAAATATGCATGACTCTTTTGTTTTGTTTTGTTTTTTTACTTATTTATACAAGCGATATTCTACTTTAATCTAATCTAAACTATTGGGAGGGGGATTCGAACTCGGGTGCAAAGTGGGAAGCACATCCGCTCTAGGCAACCTAGCTAAGGCCATGTATGCGAAAATATGCATGGCTCATGAAAAGACTATCAGCGGTTAGATGTCAGAAACGAAAGTATCCTTGAAAATGTTGTGATGAGTCCTGTGAGGAACTTTGATATTTCATGAAAACCTGTTTCTAGTATTTCAAGCTATATTGTTACGGGCATTTGCTTTCTGATATGTCATTCTATTAACAGTCTGCATCACTGAATCTCTTGATGTTGTTTTGCTCTTGTGTTAGGTTATCTGGAGGATCGGCGCCCAGCTTCAAACATGGACCCGTACATTGTGACCTCACTGCTGGCAGAAACTACATTATTGTGGGAGCCAACACTTGAGGCTGAAGCTCTTGCCGCTCAAAAGCTTGCATTGAATGTCTGAAACCAATTCGTTGAAGATAATCCACTGGGGCTCAAAACGCAGTCAATTGGGACAAAGCAGCCAAGTGTGTGAAGCATTTTCCCTCACCTTTTAAATCCTTTTGAGAAAGATCCTTTGTAAATAAAGGTCCCATGTGAGTGATTGTTCATGGCATGTTCAACTTTGTAGAATGTTTTCATTGCATTGAAGAAATTGTGTAGATCAGAGCCTTAATTAAATTATTTGACAGTTGATTGGATATTTCACTTAGCATATGAACTCTGTTAATTTAACTGTCCACCACATCACATGAGGTTTTCCATTGAATGTTCACATCCTGCACAATTTGATCTTGTTTTTGTATAACAAATCAAAACCTGGACTATTCGATCATGATGAATCAGACCGGCTGGTGTTGACATGACGCTTGCTTGCGTTGCCTACCGGTTGCAATTTTTTGTTTCCTGATAATATATACTTTTGGGATGAGTTATAAGACAAGGTATTGGAAGCTAAAGAAAATTCCTTTCCTCTCTGTTGATTGTTTTGTACAGTGAGAGCTCATAACAATTCTGGGCAGTGAGAGCACCCTCTAGCTAGGCCTCTAAAATAACTGAAACCTGAAACTGAATACATGAAGATTGAGGCAAGAATAATGTATATAATACTCCTGCCAGCCAAAAAAGCATGAAAACATAGAAAAAGGAAAACTTTATTCTTCATAATTTTTGGTGTGCTTGGCAGGCAAAACTTTATTCCACAACAGAGCTGCCGTGCACAACTGATAATAAGCAAAGAAGCCATTTATATGATTTATTATAAACTTCTCTAAATACCCAACAAAGGATTCTTTGCCCCTTCCATGAGGCAATCCCAATAATGATGGAAAAGAATATAAGCCGTTTCTTTAAATCAAAGGCACTCATTTTAATATTCAACGATTTGTATGTACTATATAGTTCTCTCCTGTCCTGCACCTGCACCCCTACAAGTGTAGCAGCATTCAATTTTCCTCTTGCTATCTCCATACTTCAAACTTCAAGGGCCTCATGACTTCTGGAGGGCCAAAATCAGCAGCATCCATTCTCTTGATCGTCAACCTTGTTCTGTATTTTATTGTGATTGTGATTGCTTCTTGGGCTGTCAACCATGGCATCCAAAGGTCTCGTGATATAGGTAATTAGTTGCAACTTAAATTTTTTTTGTCACATCAATTATATAATCAACTAAACTTATGCAGATGAGGATTAGGCCAGTTGGCCAAGGTTCAGGGCAGTAAGTCTGCCCCTTTGCACCAAAGTTCGAATCCCCCTCCCCGTTTAGAGCAGTTTGGACTATCACTTGTATAAAAAAATAATGACTAAACTTATTACTTTGCACACATGCAGCTTCTGTTTTAACAATTCCAGCGCGAATATTTCCAATCTACTTCCCATTTGGAAACATGGCAACCGGTTTCTTTGTGATTTTCTCCCTCCTTGCTGGTGTTGTTGGCTTTGCCACCTCACTTACTGGACTTCACAACGTTGTCCAATGGGACAGCCCCAACTTGCACACAGCTGCTGCCTCTTCTCTTGGAACTTTCTCCCTCACTCTTCTTGCCATGGGGTCTCTGCCTCTCTTTTTTCCCTACTATTTTACTTTCTGGATCTCCATTTTTCTTAAATGGAACCCCATGTTCATATATATAAACTTGTTCTCCACTGTTTCTGTTTCAGATTGGCTTGTAAAGAAATTCAACTTGGTTGGACCAATTCAAACTTGGTAAGCTGATGCTCTTATTGTATAATTTTCTTTTTCCTTTCTTTATCGAACTTGGTTGGACAGGTTTGAACATTATTAATGGGTTGTGAGAGGAGCATTGTATACGTACGCCAGTCGTAACACACATTATTCTGTTGTACATGACTAATCATGATGTTGTGTGTACACAGCGTACTTTGGAGACCATAACAATAATAGTGAGTGCAACGCAGTTGTTTTCTACTTGTGCCATCCATGCTGGGGTTGAAGATGTTATTGTTCGAGACAGGAGCCACACTGGAAGAGTTTAATCCCTGCATGTTCATCTTCTACACTTCATATGTTGATGTATTATTGTTGTATCCATTACAACACAATTTGTATTCTGGGTGCTGTTTCTATTTCTACATTTTTTTTTCTCATTGTTTTTTTTTTGCGAGATTTTTAAGATGTGTGACACTTTCTTCCCTTTTTCTAATCTACCACTTGAATTCAACATACCATCTTCCTAAGCCTACTACACACATAATTTGCTTAGTGTTGTGATACCCGTTAATGGGTTGTTGTATTTGAGTTGAGCTAATTTTCACGTAATCCATTATCAAATTTACTTACAATTTTCTCACATTTAAAAAAAAAATGTTCTTCGGCTTAGAAGTTGGTGTATAAACTAATAGTTTGTCATGATAATTGTGACATGGAGAGTTATGTCATGTAATCAACTAACATAGATGAGAGTGAAGAATAAATTGAAGAGGTTGTGAGGTTCTCCTTTTAGTAAATATTCTGGAAGAACTTTGAATTTTATTGAATAATTTGTGCGTTTACAATGATATACAACCAAAACCTTATACAACATGAATAGGAAACATGGTCTCCTACAACATTAAACTGTAAGGTCATCTCTAGCAGTGGAGGGCTAAATATAGTCCACTCATAAAATTTAGCCTACTATTTATAATTTTTAAAAGAATAATGCTAGGCTATATTTTTACCGTCTCTAACAGTGCAAGGCTAAATCATAGGCTCCTCAATATTTTATTAGTTAATTTAATTAAAGTACTATTTTAGACCTTGTTTAAAATTTATTTTAATTTAACTAAAGTACTATTTTAGACCCTGTTTAAAATTTATTTTAGAAGATAAAAATATTTTCGGATAGAATTTTTGACATTCACGAATAGGATTTAAAAAAAAAAAAAAAAATTCGGATACGATAGGATTAATTTAAAAACAACAACAACCCACCCAAGAAACTAAAACATTAATTTAAAAACAACAACCGGCTCACCTAAGAAATAATAAAATAAGATATAATCCACCCAAGAAGTGTGCCTCATTTAATCCAACATTTAGTAGCCCTTTTGGCCCAGTAACATAACATGCATAGCCCATTTACTAGAGATGAGTTTTGGGTGTGAAAGGGCCAAATGAGGATTTTGCCCTTTCTTTGAGACCTCTTAGCTATTTGTGTCCTCTAAGAGCATTTCCACCTGTGCAGGCTAACACGAGCAATAGGCCCCCCAGTCCCTAAAAACCAACTCCAGTGGTGAAGGCCAGCTCGGGCAACGAGTGGGCTCCATCAGTTTGGGGAAGTCCAAAGGCAAGACTTGCCTGAGTTTGCTGATGTCAGCATGACATTAGAATTTTTGACATCCACGAATAGGATTTTTTTAAAAAAAAAAAATCGGATACTATAGGATTAATTTAAAAACAACAACAACCCACCCAAGAAACTAAAACATTAATTTAAAAACAACAACCGGCTCACCTAAGAAATAATAAAATAAGATATAGTCCACCCAAGAAGTGTGCCTCATTTAATCCAACATTTAGCCCTTTTGGCCCAATAACATAACACGCATAGCCCATTTACTAGAGTTGAGTTTTGGGTGTGAAAGGGCCAAATGAGGATTTTGCCCTTTCTTTGAGACCTCTTAGCTATTTGTGTCCTCTAAGAGCATTTCCACCCGTGCAGGCTAGCACGAGCAATAGGCCCCCCAGTCCCTAAAAACCAACTCCAGTGGTGAAGGCCAGCTCGGGCAACGAGTGGGCTACATCAGTTTGGGCAAGTCCAAAGGCAAGATTTGCCTGAGTTTGCTGATGTCAGCATGACATCAGCAACCAATTTAAATACCCAATTTTTTTAATAAAAAAAACCAAAAAATTCAATTTTTTTTAATTATATATAAATACCTAGCCATGTTCTTCACTTCTCACACCAAAACTCCATACAAATTCCTCTTCTTATATCTCATGTGAATAGTGTTTGTCTTTACTTGCCATGGCAATGGGTGGAAAAGCAAAATAAAAAAGAATAGAGCAATCACTGTTCATGTTAATAGTATTTGCCCTTACTTGCCTTTACCCTTTGCTATAGCACCATAGGTGGAAGTGCTCTAAGGAAGGACACAAAATCAAGTCCTCTGTCGACCCACAAGCTCATAATCTAATTTAAGAGGAAATTACACATTAGCACTTGAAATAAAGTTTGGGTTGAAAATTGTAAATTTCATATGGCGATAAAGACCCAAAAGAGAGGATTACTAGTTTAATATGAATAAAACTGAATTTTTTTTTCTGTCAGTTTAAATGTATTTTTTTGTCAGGTACGGAACCATTGAATTTAGATTTTTTTTAAAAATTTTTAATATAGGTGATAGTTTATTTATTAAAAAAAAAAGAGAATTTTCACACACGTTATTAAAGTACCATGATAATTCAAATTGAGACCACTAATCTAAAAATTAAGGTCATTTTCGAATGCAACAAGATTTAAATTTAGCTTAGCTAAAGAAAAGTAGATAAAAAGGAAAACGGTCCTTAGTAGACAACAGCCCGAAGCTGAAACATATCGTTTGCATTCCCGCCACTTTGGAAATTAACGAACTGCACACGAACTGTACAGAAAACATCCAAACCATCCCCCTCTTCTCCCACTCTCAACCTCATCCATGAACTTCGCGCACCGTACCATCACAACGGTCACATTCCCCTGTCTCCCACTAAACCCTAATCCCAAAACCCAAATTGCCCCAAAATTCACTCACCTGCGTTCACTGAACAAAACCCTTATACAAGTAAAGCCAAGATTAAGCCACCAAATTAGAGCCTCAGCAAGCGATAGTAGTCAAACCCCGTGGTGGGTGAACGTGTTGCCAACCAAAGCTTTCGGAGCCGAGAAATTTCTTCGGCTGATTTCAGGTGCCACCGCTAGCCCCATTTGCCAGTACGTGTCGGAACCCAGCACGTTTCTTCATTCTGTGGACCCCAGAATCAAATTGGTATGCTTGATTTTGATGGGTGTTTGTTGGTTTTTGATAATATGTGGTGGGCTTAGTGTAATTTAGTTTTCGTGTTTTTGGCGGCTTAATGGTTTGGTAATTTTAGCTGAAAAGGGATGAAATGGTGTATGGGGTTTAGATGTTGAAGACATGCAAAGATCAAATTTTAATTTTGGTTTTTGGTATTTCAGTTTGTATTTCATTTTATTGAGTTTCTACTGTGTTTGATCTGTATATGTTTCGGAAAAGATTGGTCAAAATGTTCTTCTTTTCTTCTTTTCAATTTTAAGCTGAGTATGTACAGAAAAATATGAAAGTTTACATTTTCTGGGATCGAAGACGGGCTAATTGGGCGCAGCTGTAGGTCTTTTGGATTTTAATTGTTTTAGAACATGGAACTTTAAAATGAAGAATGTTGTTCTTTTCTTGTCGTTCCTTTTTCTCTACTAAAGAGAGGGTTAGGCAACATAATGGTTTCTTTAGCATCCAAGTTTTCTTGGGGAAGTTTAGGGAGAACCACTTTGTATAGTGCAAGAAATTGCTATGGTAGTGTGTCCTTAAAACATTAAATGACAGGAGTTGAACTCCATGCATATACATACACCTCGGATCTCCAACTAGGCAGTTTCTATGATTGAGTTGATTTTTTTTTACTAAATGTGGTGACTCTCAAACGTTGTAGATGACATTTCTATTTAAACTATAAAGTAGCAAATGAGTAGAAGTAGAAACATTATATAAAATGGCAACTTTTTAGGCAAACCAAAATTTTAAAGTACAATATATAAAAGTCGAGGCTGTTTTACTTTGTCAAAATGGGCTTAAAAAATCTACTTGTAATGATATCGTTCTGCATCCTGGAGGGTTTGTCTTTTCTTAAATGTGTATTGACATCTCAGTGCTGGTAAATTTTGCATGATGAGCAGATTATGGGAAAGTGCACATGTAAGTATGTAAATTCTGTGTTATTACCTCTTTTCTTTTTAACTTTGTCGTCTTGATCCTGCAGGTTTGGCTTTTGGCTCTAGTTGTTTTACCAGCAAAGTCACGTATAATACTGCGTTTTGGATTAGTAGTATACTTGGCCGTTTTGTCAATATGGATTCTTCCAAGACATACATGGATGGTAAGTAACTAAGTACCATCCTATGAGTCAGGAGCTGGTTTTAATTCCATCAATATTAAGGTCTTTAGTATTTAATTAACAAGGTCTTAGTGATTCATCCAGTATTTTTATCTTTCTTCTTTCCTCTGAATATATAATCAATGTGATATTTTCTTGATTACAGGACCAACTGGGAAGAGTGTCTTTGATTTCTGGAATTTTATTCATTACGTTGGGGCTGGGTTCAGATGGTGTGCCACCCCTTGTTCAGTTAAGAACCCCACCTCCTGCAATGATGGGATTATCAAATCTTCCTGCATCTCTGGGAGGTTACTCATATTTAATTATGAAACTAGGGCCATTACATTTTACAAGGAAGGGGTTGTCTGTGGCAAGCACAGCTGCTTGCTTAACCTTTACTGTGAGTTGCTTCTATCTCTGCTTGGTACACTTTTTGCCTTTCATTTAATAACGATATGTTTGGATGCCCATTGATATAATCACATTATAAGCTTGTTTGGCACAAGGAGGCACAACCCACAGCTGCTTGCTTAACCTTTACTGTGAGTTGCTTCTATCTCTGCTTGGTACACTTTTTGCCTTTCATTTAATAACGATATTTTTGGATGCCCATTGATATAATCACATTATAAGCTTGTTTGGCACAAGGAGGCACAACCTTTTTATTTTTTTATTTTTACAATGGAGTGGTGTAACTCAAAACAATAGTGGCATGCTTACATTTCTTCAAAGCATACAATTGATGATAAGAAATTATGCTTACCAGACTACATGTAGGTGATTTGAATACAAAAAAGCTTTTGTTTATTCTGAGATCTAGCGTTCGTGTTTTTGTCATAAGGTTTTTCAAAGTGCGAGCCTTTGCCTGACAACCACAACCCCTGAAGAACTTGCATTTGCCTTGCGGTGGTTTATGCTCCCTTTGACACGTCTTGGTGTGCCAGTGGCTGAAATTATTCTGACCCTCATGCTTTCATTGAGGTTCATCAATCTCGTGTTTGATGAGGTACGAGGATTGGTCAATAAGATTTGT